GGGGGGGGGGTCATTTCAAGGTACCGTGAAATATTGGAGTGCCCCCCTAAAATTTTTCAGCTTCCGCCGCCCCTGTACCTTGATTACATCAGACCTCAGGACGTAATCACGTGACTGTTACTAACTAACAAAGAGATTTTACTTAAAGAAAGAACTAGTTTTTACTGGATTACTAATGTCGTGAAGGAGCAACAACTATTTCAAAATGCTCCCAATTTCAAAATATTAAGCAATTTCATGTTTTAAATGTTTAGCGGCAAGACAGACGCGTACTGAAAATGTTTGGTCGGTTGGGCTRCCTGTGTTGGAAAAAAAACTTTCGTGACTAGCAAGTGCTCCAAAAAAATAAAAACTCTCAGAGCAGATACTCTTTAGGAATACACAGATATCGCAGTATAGCTTATTCGCAGGCTCTTTCACGTTTTGGCGAAATTTGCATTTTTGAAAAAGAATTCCAGCTTTCTGGAAAAACGTCGAAATTTATATAAAAAGATTATGAAATCACTGAACGCTTAATTGAAATAATTAAAAAAAAAAAACACCGACAAAACAAAACAAATTACGAAAAACAAGCACATTCACAGCGGATGTACTGTTCTGGTGATAGAGACACGAACCTAGACAAAGACAGAATAAGACATTGCGTCAGCGGAACTGTAAGGTGACGTCATCACATGTTTTTTTGACTCAGACCCCTTTCTTGATTTTTGTTTTTTGTTTTTTTGTCATTTATAAATCCAAAAGGCAACTGTTCATCTATTAAACTCGTTTGGAAGGCATTTCAGATCACGGAGGAGTTGATTATCACTGTAAGTACTGCAGCTTTTTATTTTTTCAAAGTTTTTATCTCAAGAATATTTAGTTTAATCTTCGCGCAATATACTTATCACTTTCAAATGGTAAATCTCTACGCGAAAATTGTTTAATACGTTTCTGTACAATCTAAGTCTTGGTAGGTGCTCTATGTCTTTCTCTCTCCGCTATCGATTGCTCTCATTCGTTCGTCTCTGATATTTTCTCGTTTTTAATTAAATTACGTATAAGTTACGAATAAGATTCTTCGTTTTAGTTAAAGAGTGTTGAAATTGTACTACATAGGGAATAACACGTCAGTGGTCTGCAACGGAAGAAGATTACACCAAGACGAATTAATAACTTCCCAACCACATTTGCTCATTAAACAAGTATGTAAAGTTATTGAGAATCAAACTATGGAACTCTTGCTTAGCAGACAGCACACTAACTAACCAAGGCACACTTGTTCCTTAAAACAAGTGTGTGAGGTCACTGAGGATCAAACTATGGACCTCTTGCTTAGCAGACAGCACACTAACTAACAAAGCCACACTTGCTCCTTAAAACAAGTGTGTGAGGTTACYGAGGATCAAACTATGGACCTCTTGCTTAGCAGACAACACACTAACCAACCAAGGCACACTTRTTCCTTAAAASAAGTGTGTGAGGTTACTGAGGATCAAACTATGGACCTCTTGCTTAGCAGACAGCACACTAACCAACCAAGCCACACTTGCTCCTCATAACCAGTGTGTGAGGTTATTTTAAAGATAAGCAGCGCAAGCAAAAAAAGAACGGTTTAATCGTACACTAAAACTTTTCATTTCGCCGGCTTAGTTCCTTTCTTCTTTTTCATCTTTAATTTCTTTTACTTTTAAATATTAGTCGTTATCTATGACTTCTGGTCGTAAAACTATTACTAGGCACAATAAAAATTAACGATCAGTTTAAGCCCTGTGAAAAACCMGCCATTATCAATATATCTTACTATCATGCTGTAAAAAAAGATTGAGCCAAAGCGACTACAGTACGTTGTGTATATTATCGAATGGCAACCGAATTCCTTAGTAATTCAGTCCAAACAAGCAATTTTGAGTTTACCCTAAAGCCTAATGCTATATTTTCTAGTGGGAAAAAGCACGCTATTGTCTTTCCCATCACGTGACAGTTTCCCGCCATTTCAAGTACCAAACGCGTGCTTTCATTAAAAAAAAGCCATGTTTTCTAAATAATTTAAGAGGCTTAAAGAATTACCTACGAATTTCATTTGTCTTATTACTTCCAAAGTATTTGGTTCTCAAGAGGTAAGATTTTTTGATGATGTAGTTGATGTTTTCATTTAATTTTTTTTTCACTAATAATTATAATTTGTTTATGCATTTTATATCCTGCCTGCCAGACATTCATTCAGTGAGATAACAAATTCTTGTCGGTGCATGAACTGAAAATCTCGTGACATTGAGGAAACAGTTGAACAGGAAGTGCAATCATATTGTGCACGAAAAACACTCTTAAGCAAAAAGTGTTGTTTACATACGACGGATGGAACACGTCACCTTAGGTAATGAAAAGCAATACCATCCACGCTAACTCAATTCCAAGTTATTTGTATTGAAACTAAACAAAGAAAAATAGAGCAACCGTCTGAGAGACAAGATTGTCAACTCATAATATCAAAAAAAAAAGCGAAGCAGAAAAGGTAAATAATGGATTTCTTAGGAACCGCATAGTTGACCGTCTGTTCTACTCAGGTGTATAACTTATATTAATCAAGAAGTGAATTATTGAAATGATTTACAACTACAATATTGTTTATGTTCTAAGTTTCTSTTGATCTCCTTTTTTATGATTTTTATCATAATTTTGAAAACGAAGCTTTATAATTCGTTTTTTAAACAAAATTCCGTATCTTTGATACTGAAAAATATCTTATCCTTTTGAAGTAACTTCAGGATACGATTCTCGTGTAAAATGTTTCACGTTTTATTATTTTTCGCTATTTTTCAATTTTTTAAGCAGAATTATTTGAAGAAAAAATATATTAATACATGAATATATTAATGTTGTTTTTGTTGAATATGTGATCTAAAACTCATAAAATCTCTGAATGTTGTGTCCATACAAGTATAGCACTGACGCACTATATCAGTAATACTACTTATAGGATTATAGTTAAGTTATATTACTAATTTAACACCTTTAAGCCGCAATATATACTAAAAATAATATAATATTACCAGGATTTAGCTAATATTTAGAAGCTGTTATTCAAAAACTTGTGCATTAGTGCGTTTCTTTTGGTCATTCGTTTTTTTCGTTTCGCAGTCTTTATTTTAAAAAAAATCATAACGAGGGATAAAATTACGCAGGAGCAATATAGTTCACTTTTCTTCCAGTTAATTGTTTCATACGATAAATAATGAAAAAAAAGTATTTTAGTTGTCTGATATTGCATCAAGTAATATTGCTGTACATTATTTCGTACTTTGCTAAAAATTTCTAAAACAGTTTTTTATATGTACAATAGATATATTGATAAAATATCTCGGAGATATAACACGCCCGCTGATCGACCGTCTACAGTATACCTTAGGACAGAGACTTGCTCGCGCAAAATCGTTCAAAAATATTTCATTATGAAAAGCAATATAAAACGACTGCTTGTGTGTCTGTACTATGATATAAACACTCTGGAAGCTGGAAGCTGTAGGGAAAAGCAAGGGAAAAGCAAGAGAAATACACAGCTACGTCTCGTGCTCCTAAGCTAGCATCTCTTAGCTGCCAGCGTGTTTATATCACATTACAGAGACATGCGGCCTTGTTTTTATATTCCTTACATATGTAGACACTATATAGACATATATATATAGATAAACATTATATATATATATATATACACATATTTATTTCAATAAAGTTAGGCACCTGAAAAGCYACAAAGCTGAGACCGGCTAGGATTATGGGTAGATACATTTTACATGTTTCAACCGCTTGATAACTGTTGATCAGTGGACTTATGAGATCTTCTACCAGTTACAAGTTAACCTCCTCTGAGCATCCTCAACTGCTGCAGTTTGTGTCAAAAGCTTTACTTGTTGAATATAAAACATTTCCCATGATTCTCAGCGATCACAGCTTTCTAGGTTTTTGGTGACTAACTTATTGAAATAAGTATATATGCACTACCCACATATATATATTATAGACACTAGAACAATCTCGTACCCAGATCCCACGTCCTCTTGGTCAGACCGAGAAACGAGAGGTTCTGGCTGTAACCGACTTTGAATAGATTACTTGCTCCATTATAGCGCCATTTACTACCACTTCCAGAATCCCTTGCCCACTTTCTTTTGTTACCAGTTGTCTTATTATTCTCTTGAAGAAATACATATTTCAATAAGAAAGAATATTCACGAAGCATTTTGGTAGTGCTAGTAAAATGACACCATCATACAAACGGCCTATCAGCTTCGGGTCCGTGAATCTCGGACCGAAAGTTTAAACTGCGCATGCCTAAGTGACAGGCTATCTTTTGGTTATTAGCGATTTAAATTACATTGAGCAACGATTATCATTTTCAGACCTTTTTTAGCTTCGAATATCTAGTTAAATTATATATGCTTTTCCTACTTAAAGTTTACTTATCCAATTTGCCCTCTCTGTAATTCACTGTGCTATTTTGTGAGTTTTTAACGCATTTTTTTAGGTTTAAACATTCCCACGACTGGAAGACAAGAGCAATCGGCCGCCAACTCGCCTCTCACTAATATGTGTAGCGCTTAAGACGTGTTTAATGATTATAGAGTGAATTTTCTATTACCTTGATGTCTGAATACATGTAATAAGTCATTAAGACATTTCTATAAGAGTAGACATTTCTATTTGAACTTCATGGTCGGCTTTCGAGTCTGTCTCAGTTGTTGAAGTCAAAATACATGGTTGACAAATAAGACGTAGACCCTCAATCATATTTTGATTGGAATGAATGTCTTTGTCCTTCCGGATTGACTTGAAATTTGGTTTAACACAGGTATCCCAATCTGATCACGATGGGTACGATGTTGCAAAAATACTTATTTTGTCTTCATTTTTCTCTTCTTCGTTTTCCTAATTTTGATTTGTCAATTTGTTTATTTGCTTGCTTGCTTGTTTGTCAATTTGTGTGTTTATTTTGTGTGTGTTTTCGCTTTTTCAATTAGATGTCTGGTGGCAATCCTTCGAGTATTCATTACCAAAATTAGGTATCGAACTTAATTAAAAATAAAAAACGAGACGAATGAAAAACGGAAAGAAGTATGATGTCACGGCGCTATATTGCTGAGTACGACAGCCAAGATGGCAGCCATATTTTTTGCTTTTCTTTCGCGTCACGAAAACACTCTCGAATCACAAGGAATTAGTTTTCCAAAAGAAAGGTGACGAATGTCTAGGAGAGAACAGAAAAGCATTGTCAAATGATGTGAACCAATTTCCCCGTTTCAAAAGACATTTCCAAGCAAATATACTTATTCAAAAGCATATATAATAATTAAAAACCAACTGTGGAGTCCAGAATTCGCAAGAAAAGATATTGGCCATCAATTTAGCGGATTGGGACACAGGAAATAATATTTCTTTTCAAAGTCACAAACAAAAACAATTGTCCCCGCGTTTAATTGTCTTACCAATTTACTACCCAAACAAACCTCGGAAATTATGTTTGTTTGTAAAAAAAAAAAAAAAAAAAAAAAAATCCCGATATACTTAGTTCATACTTCGATTATTCAATTTCGTTCGTATATCAGAGAAGAACGTTCTGGAACTAATGTTATATCATTCTGTCGACGCTCAAAGTGAAAAAAAGGAAAAACTACCCGCCTGTTTCAAATGGCTAACTGTGAGTTCAATTTTTCTTGAATTCTAGAATATAATATGCTGGTTAGTGAAATTATATTCCCGTTCGTGGAACGAAAAAAAATGAGCGGTTTGAAACTGGTAGTTTTCTGCAAAAACTGCCATTCTAAATTTCACACACAAAAAAATTAATTCCATCTTGAAAGAAAATTTCTGAGGAAATAATAAATTGCGCATCTTTTTACTCTTTTACCGAGTAATTATCTCCTTTTGTGATGCCACCTGAACCCGCTAAGAATCCCACAAAAAATTCATGTCCTTTTTTCTTTTCAAGCTTAGAATTAAAAAATGTTCAGCTTGCGAGAAAAAATAAATTCAGGAAATTACAAATCGTTTTTCCTTGACAGAGCAATTATCTACTTTAGTGTTCTTTATTTAAATATGCAACGAATCAATTTAAAAAAAAGTATGGCCCAGAAAACGAGTCCTTTTTTTTAGGAGGAACCTCATTTATAATATAAAATTTTCCGAACTCAGATTTTAGAGTAGCTTTAATTAATGCACTATAACACTTATCAATGGATCTTTGGACTATTGAACTGAGAAAGCGCCAAGAACAACAACAATAAAAGAATATGTATCTATATATGTATTTAGTTAGAAAGATTATGATATTTTAATATAAAGAATTTAGGAATACAAAGAAATAAAAGGCAAAAACCAAAAGAAAAACTAGAAAAGTTATTATTTTTCTTTGTTCACGTCTTTACTATATAGCCTATACTATAGTTTTGGAATAGTTTATTTGTTTCCAAATTAGACTGAAACGCTCTCGCTGATGAACTTAACCTGAACATGGACAAACTCAACTCATTTAAACGCGCCATGTTAAGTTACTACGTAACGTCACTGGACAGTTACAACTGTTACGACCCACGTTTTTTCAAAACAGTTTGTTTAAAATGCAATTCTTTCAGACGCCTCACTCTTGCTACCTCCCGCTGTTAGTTATTTGATTCAAATGTGTCACTATATCTACTTAAATTATCTTTGTACCAGTTTTTAAAACGATAGCAAACTATATCTCAAGACAACGTATATCTAACTAGTGGTGGCCAACTCGTAAGTTCCCAACTACTTTGGGCACCACACACGAACCTAAATCTTCCTATATCTCATTTCCATAAGTTTAAAACTTTCATTAGGTAATTCTTTATAAATTTATACTTGATTTTGTAACATAATTTCAAGTATTTTACAAACGTCTAGAATAAAATTTATCACATTTCGAAATATTACAGATCATTTGACACTTCATGTCATACCTTCTCCTGTTTCCTACTATTCTCGGGACATTCAATCTTTCATACTTTTCTCTTAAAATTTATCCTAATCTCGAATGTTTGTCATTTAATTTGTTTGCGCTATTACCTTATATTGAACACTTTTGAACTTGTGTAATTTGTATCTTATTTCTATTGAAGTTTTGACAGAGCTTCCGTTGTACTGTTTTCGCAATTGTTTGTTTTTTCAATAGTCTTGAAAATGAACACCATAATTATTGCACATCGTTAAAGGTGTTAATATATATTATTCTAAGTTGTACTTTTTAAAAATGAGGAACTATTTTCGGTATCTTCTGCGTAAGACCGTATGACGTAGTTTTTTGAAATTCTAAGAAGAATTCAAAATTAAAATTTCACAAACTTGATTAATATTCATTGGTTCTATTGATGTAGGTGTCATTCTGCCATTGTTACTTGACGTGCTCCAGTGGCAATAGCGCAGCGCAGCCGTGACATCATAAAAACGAAGACAAAGGCGAAATTCGGACAAAAAAACTTACAAGTTTACTTTCAGCAGATAATTTTCACAGCCGATTGTAGTTGATCTTAGTTTACATGGGTGATTATTATAACTTCAAGTAAAAATAATAAAATCGGTTCGTATAATCCTCGTAGCGGTTAAACAGAATGCAATGTTTGTCCGAATTTTTAAGCTATTTTTAGAATCAGCGCGCTGCGCTATTGGCAGCGCGGTTTCGTCAAACGTTGTCGTTGTGGTGTTGTTATTGCTGTCGTTGCTGCTGCTGCTGTTGTTGTTATTGTTGCTCCTGTTGATGTTAATGCCGGATCACTGTCGCGGTTATAGCTTGTGCTCGGAATAGCTGCTGCTGTTCTGGTTGCCGTTGTTTCTTCTCTTGGTTGATTGATGCTGTTGTTTTTCTGTGGTTTTGTTTGTTTACTGCTGCAATTGTACCACATTTCTTGTTGCAGAAGTGATCGATAAAGTATGGGCGCAGTTAATTTGTTTCTATGCTATACTATTTACTGTTGCTGTCAAATTATCCTTTTTTTTTCTAGTTTATCTTATGCATATTTTATTTCATTCTCCCTTAATTTTCCATTAACTAGTTTATGAGTCCTTGAATAAATATTTAATGAATTCTGCCATTTATCGTGGCTAAGGCATGCTATTAAACGTCGCAAAGCCCTCCAACTGTCTCAGCATCAAAAACAAACTCCAGGATAAGTCATTAGCATATATAAGACGAAACACCCATAACTGAGAACAGGTGGTGTCGGTCCAATCCTTAAACCTAGTAAGACATCTTACTTTAGCGTGATTGGCCGTAACTAGGACACCAAAGGTTGACTCGCTAATTTCATCCGATTTCACCTCCACCGAGTATTTATACAAGAAACAACTTCAAACTAGATAACAAGGCCCTTTATCACACCTTATGAACAACTAGACGGAAGTTTTCGCATTTTGCAGGAACAAGGAAAAGTAAATAGCATAGTTCAGTTTGTATTGCGAAATTTTAGATGATTTAGGGATCTTTACTGCATAGGTTAGAAGCTGAGCTTGGAACTAGGAGATTAATGTTCATCTTAGGCAACGTGTGTTGCTAAAAGAAAAAAAGTTCTAGTCGTATTAAGTGTGACATTTTTTCTTTTTCTTTTGGTTTCATCTAAGGGACCAAAGAGATGCCGAATTCCCGGAACAAGAAGCATAAATCTTCGAGCAAGATTATTCTAAACGTTGGAGGAACTCGCCATGAAACTTATATCAGCACGCTAAGGAACATCCCAGACACAAGGCTTTATAATCTGTGCGAACATCATAAAGGAATAACCAAAGCAGCCGAGTTTGATTCATCCAACAACGAGTACTTTTTCGACAGACATCCTGGGGTTTTTGCTCACATTTTGAACTATTATAGAACTGGTAAACTTCACTGTCCTTACGATATCTGTGGACCGATGTTTGAAGAAGAACTTGAATTCTGGGGGATCGATGAGCAACAAGTAAGCTCCTTATTAATTGTTTATTTTTGCGATTAATTTGTGGATTTGTGGTGTTGTGTTGTGTGGTGTTGTGCAGTGCTGTGTGGTTTGTTGGTGAGTCAGAGAGTCAGTTGTTTTTTAACCATCGTTTCTCAGCAAAATAAATATGCTCCAAGAAGATTCGATCAAATATGCATAAACGTATTTCTTATAAATAGAAAATATACCGAGCTGAGTAATATCTGATTAACGAGGATATCGAAATTCCAAGGGCAATTTTATACGAAATTATGTTTAAGTGAAATTATGCTGTCTTTGAGCTGTCGAGTTAAATGAAGCTTAATTTTTAGATTTTTTTTTATTATAAAAAAGCAACACATTAAGATAAATAGATAATGAAAAATTCAGACAATTCTGAAATGTCAATTTCTACAAATATTAGAATTGTATTTAATATATATAAACGTCTTTCCCCTTCTTTCTTTCTGTCTCTGCACTGGGTTAAAAGGATAATAGTTTTCCAACAAAATCATCGGGTAGACACAGGTATTATAAATGAGCGTTTTAACCTATGCATTAGGAAGAAGAAATAGCTTATGCTATTAAGGAATTGTCTTATTGTATTTTAAGTTTCGAATGAATTAAATGGGAATTGAATAACAAGCCAAGGCATAAAGGACATCGGTAACGCTCAAGTATCTTTTATTTCATGTCAAAGTTTTGTTCTACAAGATTAGATGTATTAGGCTCGTTAGGATAGCCACATTTATATGCTATTTTCATTAACTAGAATTCAAATCATCAATAATTTATTAGCTAAGCAGATTGTAGGAACGTGCAGCGTGGTTTTCATCGTCGCAACAGGACTTTGAAACCTAAAAGGACAGGTGAAGAAAATTTTGGAATATTCATCAGACTTATTCTAAAGAAAAAATATTTTTTACAAAACCATTGGAGAAAGATAATGCCATTCTTTAATTGAAAACGAAGAATAAATGAAATTTGTTTTTTATCGTTGATTAAAAAAAGTTTCTTTGCGTTTGTAGAAGATCAGAACCGGTTTAAAATACAAGCGAAAGATAATCGAAAAGACTAGGCAAATAAACTGACTTTACGTTCAAAAGATAACTTTTTTTAAATTAGTGGACTGAAATTCCATGGTTTTCTGTTGGTTTTCACTTTCGAAGATAAACAAATACACACAAAAATGCACTTGAAAGTAAAAAGCCCCCTTTTATTTTTACTATTTCATCTTCTTCAGTGTCCTGGTCCAACACAAATGTTCTCATTGGTTTCTTTTGTCTTATTCTCATAATATAAACACTCCTTTCTACCASCTCTTTTTCTTTTACTCCGACGAAGGACTAGCGTCAGAAACGTCAGTAATGTTTTTCATCTTTTCATAATTTACCATTTTATCATTAAATGAAAACTGTTACGTCTGAAAAATAACCTTAATGGCGGTTTCTATTAATTAATTTTTCCTTTTAGAATGAAGAATATTGATAACCGTGTTGAATTTAATATTTGTTGTAATATTTTGACCAAAAGTGCACTCTCCAAATTACAGAAGAGAAAACAACTCCATGGTAATTATAAGATTCACTCGCTAGTATGTTTACCAATTATATATATATTTCAAATTATTCTGAAAAGTCTGAAAAGATGATTCTTTGAATAGAAGACTTTTATAAAAAACGATAAAACTAATACATCCTAATGAAAATATATTTATTTGGCGAATTTCATCTTTTTGGGGGTACCTGTACATGCCGGGATGTTTTCCCCACTTTTTGGGTTTTCTTTTGCCGCCATTTTTTTATCATTAGCAGCTGTGATGAACAACGTCTGCAATCTCTGGTATTCCTGACAACTTACTTGACAATTCACTGAGAGACGAATGCTAAATACTAGATTAACTCACTCGATGTGAGAGCATTAGTATACATTAAAACCTCAAAATATGTTGCTATCAGTTGACGAACAGCATGGAATAATACATTGTCTAGATTTTAATAACTTTTAGAAAACGTCAGTGAGAGGCAAAGAATTAAAGTTTTCGACAATTTTGACACAAGGAACCGATCAAGTGAACATCAATTGAAGCTCACTCCACATCGAATTAGAATACACACTTTCTGCTCACCGAACTAAGTGGTTAACAGGTGCAACAAATGTTCTCAAAACTCTAGGAACTTTGTGATTATTTTGGTAGAATGGCCAAGTATATTAATACCCTAATCGAGCCTTATCCTGCAACGCATTAGCAACCAGCTGATTTAATTACTTGACTACCTTTATCGCAAAAAAACAAAAATGAATAGAAATAGAAGAAAGAATTGGGGTTATCTTACCTGTTATCAAGAAATTAAGGTGGGATTGAGAGTGGAAGCTGATCATATTTCCTGATAAAAAAACAGATGGAAGAAACTAGAAGAAACTTTTTTGCAAAGGTGTTTTCGGTRACTAGCAAAGCAAGGACGAAGGATAAAGGAAATGAAAGAAAGAATCGAGGAAAGAATTGCGATTGTATGAAAGACGAAGATGGAAAAAGGAAACAAAAAGCAAAAGAAAAACAAAAGAGAAAATTCAAACAGAAAAGGAATCAAAATTAAAGAAAGTAAGAAAAAAAAAACACAGAGAAACTGAAAGAATGAATAAAAAAAAAGAATGAAAGAATGAAAGAAGAAAGAAAGAGAGAGAGAGAGAGAGATAACAAAAAGATGAGAGAGAAAATAGAAGAGAAAACTAAGGATACAACTTCAACTCCGAAGGTATGAAATTTCACCAAAACAGACCACTTGGAAAGAAAAAAAAGGAAAGAAAAGGGATTAGATACCGACATCCTCATTCTATTATTAGTAAAAGAACTGGAATTTATAGAAAATGGCATACCTTCTTATTTTATAAARTTTGTAATTTTTTGTTCGAAAATTTCAGTCTTTCAAAGTTCTTGAAATAATTCAAATTTGCAGTCTTGATTATTTCATGAACATGAAAATTAGAACCGATTTGAAATATCATTTTCCTGTTTTTTAATTGCTTTTTAGGTGGAGACTTGCTGTTGGGAAGTTTATAAACAACACAAAGAAAAACAAGAAAAACTGAAGTATTTCAAGCTTCCCGGCTTCGATGAAAAGCTCGAAAATAACGTCGCTATTGCGAAGGATTGTGAAGAACCCGATGAAGGGGGCTTTGTCTCATGGTGGTCAAGACTACAGCCAAAAGTTTGGAGAATTCTAGAAGAACCACACTCCTCACAAACCGCCAAGGTAGATTTATATTTATAGATTCATCCATTAAGATTCTGTGCGTTTAACAGGATGGAGGAAATTCATACTGTCTTCCAGTGCGTCATGTAGTTTTTTCAAACTGTAGGTGATACCGGTGTTCGGACAGTGATTGACCAATTTGATTCATCAGTCTTGASCAATTTGGAGGCGGAGTGCTTTCCATTCAGCACTAAAGGTTGCCATCAAGCTAATTCGCGCAGTGGGACTCTAAAATAGGACTTTCTCGAAGATAAACATATGCACCTCAAATAAGGAGACCTAAGGACATCGTTATTCTAATTTGCAGTAAGTTGGGGTTAATGGGGAATTGTTTAGGATGTAGGGTGATGATTCCTTAAGTGGTCGAATATAAACTCCGTGCCTTGATAACTAAATGCCCGAATCTGAAAAACTTCAAATGATCGAAACAGCCTCTGGGCTGATCCAAGTCAGGGTATGGCTGACTCACAGATTGAACCCTGAAACAACCTCTGGGCTGATCTAAGTCAGGGCATGGCTAACTCATAGATCGAACCCTGAAACAACCTCTCAGCTGATCTAAGTCAGGGCATGGCTAACTCACAGATCGGACCCTGAAACAACCTCAGAAGCTGATCTAAGTCAGGACACGGTTACCTCACAGATTGAACCCTGAAACAACCTCAGGGCTGATCAAATTCAGGGCATGGCTGATTGACATATCGGACCCTGAAACAACCTCAGAGCTGATCTAAGTCAGGACACGGCTAATTCAGATGCGGATCGGACCCTAAAACAACCAGCCAACAATCCACCTATGGTCCCGGAGTACAGCTTTAACCAGTTTGAATTACTTAGGGTTGATTTTTAGGGTAGGGCCAGAAAACCCTCGGAGTCAGAAAACGAAATAATCTCCATGAATGATAAAAACGTATAGTAATGTTATGGACAACAGGTTTTCGTTGAACAGTAGTAACCTAAACATCCACATACAAGAAAACTACGGGCTAACATGTTTATGAAAAYAGCTATACATTTAGGGATATAACTTAATATCAAATCCTATTATGATTACACTTTAATTAAAGTTCGGCAAAATTTGTTCAAAAACTTCAAAGAAGTCCGAAGTGTAGTAATTCATCTGCACTCTATTTTTTTCGAAGACTCAAGCAGGGCACTTCCTAAGTTATCAAGAAAATATATCTGGCAGGAAGACACTGTTGATAAATAATAATATAGATTTTGAAGCCCCTGAGGTAGACACATCATTTTGGTCAACTGTTGTACTTCCGCTCTCTCTGAATCTAAAAAAGTTAACACATCTATTACTCCATTAACATGAAGATGACACCGTCTAGGAGAGGCGTCTGTCGAGTTCCCAGCTTAATAAGTCGATGTAATAAATTTACTCGAGGTCCAAATGGATCACAATTGACAATTCATGTTCTTGTGTTTAGGGCGTGTTTTTCCATTTCAGATCACGTGTTATTCCCTAGAGAATAAATTCTTAGAGTCCATAAAAGAAAGATATAATGTTGAAGAAATATTTTCCTACACTTCGATCTCTTTGTAAGCCAGTAAAATTTGAAGAAATGTTAAACGTAAAAGTTCACAAAACATAAACGTTTTCTGAGCGTAGCTTCTTTAACAGACATGAAGTTTTTTGAAATATATTTTTTTAATATGTCTGTTTAAAAGAACCAACGCGGGTGTTAAACAGAGCAGCTTGATCATAACCTGTCCACTCAACAAATCAAGCAGCAGTCACGATAATGAAACACAGATAGGCTATCAGCAAACAAGTAACCATTTAGGGCTTTTAAGGCGGAAATGACAAATCAACAAGTTAAGGTTTTTCTCAGAGGAGGATCAAGCGTTATCTCATAAGGCATTGCGAGTGAGATATAGATTCCATTTAAACAGCTAAAATTACTATTTTCGAAATCGAAAAATCAATTGTGCTGAAGTAGAGAGTATGATAAATCTTTTGGCGTTATCTATTTTGTAAATTCCTCAAGAAATCTAAAAATGCTTAACAAAAAACTAGAGTGCTTTCAGGTTCAGTGCATATCCTACAACTAGCTACTTTTAATTGCCACATTAGTCGAATATGTCTTCATTAAATTATGCTAGAGAACAACACCTTAGTATTGATATTATAAAAAGCAGAAGTACAATAACTAAAATATGCATATAAAATAGTGAATATCATCCAAAATGGCTGCCAATTTTATTCCCTGAGATGATTACAAACCACCTACAGTCAACACCATCCAACATGGCTGCCACTTTTATTCCCTTAGGAATGATTACAAACCATCTGTAGTGAACATCATCTAACATGGCTGCCACTTTTATTCACCTAGGAATTCTTACGAACCACATAGAGTGAACATTATCTAACATGGCTGCCACTTTTATTAACTTAGGAATGATTACAAACCATCTGTAGTGAACATCATCCAACATGGCTGCCACTTTTATTCCCTTAGGAATGATTACAAACCATCTGTAGTGAACATCATCTAACATGGCTGCCACTTTTATTCACCTAGGAATTCTTACGAACCACATAAAGTGAACAGCATCCAACATGGCTGCCACTTTTATTCAACAATAATAATCAAGGTTGCCTCAAGCTGTAGCACCTAATATTAATTCGACTTTCCAATTAGATGTGCCACTTTTATTCATCCAAAAAGGTTGCCTCTAGCTGCTGTAGCACCTTATATTGACCAGACTGTCCAATTAATTGTTCCGGACAACTTATAGCGTCATAAAATGACCATGAATTTGAGTTGAGCGTTGTGTGCATAGAATATTAAATGTAGTGGTAGTGTGTGTGTGAGTGAAAAGTGTCCCCAATTAGTGCGAAAGCGCTAGAACGACTAGACACTTAAATAAAAGTGATTTATTTATTTTTTTATCCGACAACAATAATGGTTTCTCATTTTCCTTCTTTTATTTTCGAACAGTCTTATAATGAAATGCGAAAACAAAATTAATTTCCGGATGCAATTATTTCTTACCTTTTGTCCCATATTTTACACCCCAACACAGAACATATAAATCTATTGATCCTTCTAATTGGCTTTTCTTGTTTAATGCAAACACTTCTCCGTACAACAATCAAGACCTTAAATATAACGACACTGCAATAAATTATAATTACCTAAATTTTTGCTTGAGGTGTCGGCAGAAGCCCATTTCTCGTGTCAAGTTGATTGATTTTGGAAGATTACTTTCTAGCCTTCGGGTTAGTCGCAGACAACTTCCAATTGCCCTGTTTYCCCCCCAAGTTTTTTAATGAATTTCTCACCTTTTATAAACTTTTTTGGCTGTACTTAGTTTTAATCAGCACCTAATTCGCTAATAATGGACATGATTATTGGCCCTATGATAAAGTAGTGTCAACATTGTATTTCTGCAAAGAATTAGACATGAGCTAATTTTAAGCCAGTCAAAATAATTCCAGACGTTTATGTAAAAAACTAGCTAAAGATCCATTTTTTTTTTAAATTGAAGGATCCAATTTTTGTTCCATATAAGCTGCCGCGTTCACTTGCCTTTAGTGTGGACTATTTGTCATTACCCTAAATTGTATTTGGGTGGCACAATTTCCTTCGGCATCGCATCGAACCAAATAACTGATAACCTCATAACGGACAATTTATTTTTTGCTTAGCCTCGAACACTTAAATACGTGACTGCACCCTTTTTTTAAATTTTTCATCATCTTCGTCGGAAGAGAGCAAAAAGATATACGATGTGAAAGGCTTACAAGAGTAAAATATGAATAAACATAGAGGTGGCCGTCAATGCACACAAAAAAAGTCAACATGAATATTTACTATGAACTAGTTTTAAAAAGCAAACGTATTTCTTTAATTTTTTCTAGGTTGCTGGAATCATATCATTCGTCCTGTTTGCTCTCTACATCATCAAATTCTCCCTCTCGACGCTCAAGAGATTTGAAGACACCGAATCACCTTCATACTTGGCACTTTACATCATCCACGTCATTTGCCTGGCTTGGTTCACGGTCGATCTTCTTCTCCGTATCATCTTCACGCCAGACAAACTGTCTTTCTTCACCAGCATCTGTACTTGCATTGATATTATCTCGCTAGTTCCTCTCTACGTTTCCATGTTCGCTGTAAAAGAAGAATGGCTTTTGCGATTGGAAATGCTGGTCATGATGAAGGTGGTGAGGATCTTCCAGCTGTTTAAGCTGTCTTACGTCATGCAGGTGTTGGTGAACACGCTGAAAGCAAGTTTGCGTGAGTTGTGCGTGTTGCTTGTCATCATGGCCTTCCAGACAGCTGTGTTCTCAAGCATTTTATACTTCATAGAAAAAAACGAAAAAAGAACGGAATTTGGCAGCGTCCCAGAAACGATGTGGTGGGCGATCATCACCATGACAACGGTGCGTAAGTAAACAGAACCCGAAAAAATTTCGGCTTGGGTGGTTGGTGTCTTTTACTTTTTTGTTTGGTCGGTCTTGTATAACCAGGAATTCGAGGGTGGTTCCAGGAAGTTTTGAAGGAGGGTGTTCTAGTTCTTTGCCGTTTGATGTCAAAAGAGCAATACAAATATGGAACCATGGGGTTGGGATTATGACACTTTGGAATTTCACGCACCTTCACTGGAACACATGAGTATTTTGCATAAATCGAGGCTAACCCTGAGCAACAGAGAACTCAAAATTGAAGTCAATCTCGTACCCAGAGCCCTTATTTCTTACTGCGCATGCTCGATGAAATAATTGGGCTCTGGAAAACTCCAATATTTCCTGTGCTGTGATTGGTTCTCGAGAACAAAGGAAGATACCGGAACTAAATATTACAGTACTAGGGAGAATAAACAAGATGGCGTCTCGAATTAAGTACACCAAAAAAGCCTGTAGGGCCGGATTTTTCACAGTTTTGCCGGTTTTGTAATGGAAATTGTATTGATGTCCATCCAATAGATATTTTCGGAGTTAATTTAACTGAAAACCATCTTCAAAACATAATTTTCCAAGCGCAAATTCACATGCTCGTTGAACATCGTCCGCTATTTTGAATTTACCTAGTCTGTCATAATACGCATGTGCGAGAAACCCAGAATCTGGGTCTTCCGGTTTGGAGTTTTCCAGAGCCCAATTATTTCGTCGAGCATGCGCAGTAAGAAATAAGGGCTCTGGGTACGAGATTGAATTGGAGTATTCTGAATATCTTTAAATAAATAGCAGTTTCCAGCTTAAAAGTAGCATGGCAGCCATATTAAATGACAGTCATCCAACATGGTGGCAACGGCATTACGTGTGTCCCAAAAATATCCTCCTTGTCTGGACGAATTCGTTTTATCGATTACCATTTTTCACAGGTAGGCTACGGTGACGTATCTCCACAGACATGGATGGGAAAGATCGTGGGAAGCGCATGCGCAATCTTTGGAGTCCTTGTCATTGCACTTCCGGTATCGGTTGTTGCCAGTAACTTTTCGATCTTCTATACGTACGCTAAAGCGCGGCTCAATGTTCCACGGAAGACCCGCAGGGTGGCCTTGTCGCATGCCATAACGTCCATGCAGATCCCGCGTGGCGCCGCCAACACCAGCATCAACAATGCTTCCTTTTCCAGCGAAAGACGATACACACAAAGAACTCTTAATGCCTCAGAGATGTCCTTCAATTTTAACTCGAATCATGGCAGCTTAGCTAACTCTGACAGGTCCCACTCCAATTCCCTTCAATCGTTGTCTATGCGAGAACCACAGTGTGGCCCTCAAGCAACTAAATCACTGAACTCGCTACCGTATGATTTGAGTTACGGATCGAATTTTCAGGCTTCGGACAATGACGACAAAAGTCAGTTTCTGGGAGCCCCGGGGTTTAGAAAAGCAACTTCTGAGCAGTTTCTATCCACAACATCAAGCGATAGGGCGCATTCTCAGAACCCATTTTTGGATTTAACCCACAATCAAAAAGACAGTGGTAACGACAACATGAGAAGAACGAACATCATATTCAGTCAAATATCACTGAATATATGTCCAACTTATCCTCTATATCACAGACGAGGGGCGGTAACTCCTGCGTCTATGAGTATAAAAAGTAACTCTTCGAACTCAAGTTACGGCAACGTATTCAAAGGAACTCATCTAGGCGTCGGTCGACCCATCATTTTTCTTTCAGGAAACAGCCTGAGTGTACAAAATCTTCGGTCTGTTCAGAATTTGATTCCTGACAAAGCATGCTCTTGTGCATCGATTAGCTCACATACGCACGTGCACAGCGCTGACGATACCACTGCAATCACTCCATTGTTATGCAACGTGGAACCGTGCATCGTAAGTACCCAATCGTTGAACAATAACAGCACCCCTAAGCTTGTAAAATCTGATGGAAATATTTACTCCAATGGACCAATCATCGCGATCTCTTCTCCTTCGGATGAGAATATTAATAAACTTGGAATTACTAAAGTTGACCAATATAGTCAGACTGAYTTAACTTGCGAACCTCCTTGTCTTAATGATGTGACTTGTGACCCCCAACTGAAGTCTTGCATATCGGATGGGCCGAGCAACCAAAATAACAACCATGTAACTTCAAACAAACAATTACATCTTGTACCAAATCCTCTTCACGATTTTACCTTTCCGAGGAGGTCAAAAACGGTGGACGAGGTACGGCATTTGAGACGCTCCACGACGTTATAACAAAAAGAAAACTGCAGGTGGTAGACGAGGGACAAAGGTGTTTTAGACACCTAGCTGTTCCGGAGATTCGAAAAGATCAACAGCAGATCATCAACAGAAGCAACAATTCTTGGGGTGCAACCTCATGACTCAAAATCCCTTGAGATATAAAAATAATATATATGAAACAGCCGCCCTGTTTGGTTGATCTAACAAAGGAAGGTAATGAGAAATGCTTTGCTATCGTCAACCACCATGGCGGTTATGAAGTATCATATTCACCCCAAGAATAGTGTTCTTCCAAGCTGTTCAGATCTGACGCAATCAACAACTTATCATGAAAAGATCTACACGTGCGGACGAACGACAAAAGTCTAGTCCTAGCTGTAAAGCTTGGAAAAGATAAACAGCCTTATAGAAAAGTAAACTGCGCGTCAACGGAGGAAGCAGCAATAGCCAGTGAATTCTAGTTGACTCCTAGTTGCCGTGATTTGAGATGCTCAACGCCCTTCCAAGAAGAAGGAAAATGAACAGGTCTTTAGACTCGTATATACTTCTTCAGACTGCCTCAATCAGCAATTTGCAAAACCTTTCTCGAAAGCAAAAGAAGCAGTGATTGAAAAATCAGCCACATGTCGTGCCTTGATATGATTAGCTCAGAGGTTCAATCTGCAAGTTGGACATGCCTTGACTTTGGTCAGCCCAGAGGTGGTTTCAGGATTCGAATTGTGAGTTAGACGCGGGCCCTGACTTAGATCAGCTCAGATAAGAACTTAGGTAAAATCAAAAGTTCTTAGATAAAATCGCTTGTTTAAAGATGTTTCATCGTCGTTGGTCAAAATAGAAATCAAAAAAAACTTTGCTTCGTTCAAAACGACTTGTATTGCATTATGGATGTATATATGTCATTTTAGTAACGTCAATTTAGTAACAAAGCAATAAAATAAAATTTAAAAATTTATCATCCTGTCCGATATATATTCACGTATTTTCTCATTTCATTCACAAGTAATGCACATGGAATGCACACGAAATCCACACGGAATAAACCTCTTAAGCTCCATTTTCTGCTCATCGCTCATCGAACTATTAAGATTTTTTTATTTTAAAAAAGAAATAAAAAACATGGGAAACGCATTTGCCCGCGAACGTCCTTAGTTTAGGGATCGAAAACTTTCACTGAGGTTCCTCTATTTGGCTTTCTTTGATTGATTGACAGTATGAGCCCTAAGAAACACCCCTTTTCTACATAGGAGGGACAGATATTTCAAGATGTTGTTGCTTAATTAAAGAACAACAACATGATCACAAACAACATATTATAAAGGTTATCTAAGATTTATGCTTCTTGTCGCCTTTACAAAGGACATCAAAGTATCGCTTGTCCTATCGCAAATTAATTTCTCGCAATTCTTGTGTGATTCCTTCCACATACTCGACAAACCGTGCCCTTTCAATTGATGACCGAGCTTTGTCATTTGATGGCGTATAAAGTTTCTTAGTAAAATCTCGTTCTTGCTTGCGTTTTCTCAATCTTTCTCTCGCGCGTTCTGCCATTTTGCTATGGATCTCTCTCATTCTTGTCGCCTGCACTCGGCTTTCAAATGAAGATTTAGCCATAAATTCTTGTTTCTTTGTTTTGCTTCCTTTTCCTGTCGCCTACTTCTGATACACTGTGTGCTTTCTTGGCAGTACGGCTATATTTTCAGATAAAGTTTTGGTACACTTTTTATCTTCATCACTTTGGTCATCAATATCTTCTTTCAAAAACGAATTTTCCTCAAAGTTGACACAACTTTGCAAATCCGCAGATTCACTTTCCCCCTCGCGAGTAAGATTTGTACCAACTATTTTATCTATTTTCGCGGAACAGTTCATTTCCTCTTCAAAGGTTTTACCAAGCAACTCAGTATAATCTGTGGAAACAGTCTCGACAACAGTCGATCTGTTTCTGAACTCTTACTGCCTTCCGTAATCACTCGTTCTTACCGTTCTTACCTCAAGAAAAAAACAACGAAAATTAAAGTTTGAAGGGYTTTTTCGATTGTTTTCAAAGCAATTTTCTAGCAAACGATGTTTCTTTTGTTTTGTTCGTCTCAATGTTTTCGGATAATTCAGCTTGCTTCACACTCCAATACCTTATATATTCTATTTTACATTCTATTCTACTTTTTTTCCTTGCTAGGGAAAAGACTTCAATCTAAAATTTGCCTCAATCACACTTGAAACTCCATTAACAATACGCAAAGCTGATGCCCTAATTTTTTTCAACCACAATATATTTAACTTAATTATAAAATTCCTTTTCAATAGACTTCCCATGAGGAACCCTCGCCAACTCGTGCTGGTGTTTTGTCTAAAATCGAAATATATTTCCTTTCACCATCGACAAATTTACCGCAAATCTTAAAAAAAGATCTTTTTTGCAATACGCATATATTTTTACGACCTTTACCTTTCTTGTTTATTGATTAAATGTTTTAACACAAATTAGTTGAATATGCCGTGGAAAAATTGAAAATGTGGATAAAGACATTTATAATTACTGGCATGTTGATGACTTAGTGCTATTGTTTTTTTAGAAGTGCTTGTTGAAGTAATAAAGATGATAATAAAGAGAGAGGGAAACAAAATTACTGAATGAATGAATGAATAAAACCTTGAACGAAAAAATGAAAAAGAATCGAAAAAAAGAAAGGAAGAAATCTAAAGGAAGGAAGGAAGGAAGGAAGGAAGGAAGGAAGGAAGGNGTCTCCTTTAAAGCCATTGCTAGATGCAAATGCCTAAAAAAGGAACACAATATATCATTTTGATTGATTGAAAGACTGAAAGATTGATTGAATGAAAGAAAGGAAGGAAGGAAGGAAGGGAGGAAGGGAGGGAGGGAGGAAGGAAGGAAGGAAGGATTTAATCATACTGTATGTAAAAAGTCAAAAAAGAAAACTAATTCTACCGCGCGATTCTCATTCTCAGAGATCTTATAACCATTTTTATTACATTTATTGAAAATTTGATAGTTTATCAATCATTTTAAATTTTGGTGGTCAATTATATGTGTAATTTTGTCATTTTTAAAATTTCTTTAAAAAAATTGGTAAGTAAAACACTATTTTTCGCTATAAATATATCAATAATATTATTTTATATTATTAGCGATAGTTTAGAATGTTTAGGCTTTACTATAGAACTTTTAGTACAAGTATTAAAGAAATGCCATAAAAGCCGTAAAATCACCGAATTAACCACATTATCGTAAGATATGTTTAAAAACAAGTTTTATACATCAATTAGCAAATCGTCACTTTCGTTCTGTTTTCACCACTGCATTTTAGAACAGAACTGGACCCCAGAATGCGTGGTCTCGAGTTGCAAGATTAACTATGCAGTAGCACTGAAATGGTTTTTCAAATTCTCACGTGCGATTCATCCAATCACAACGCAGTCTTATTTGGCGGTTTTTTCCTGCCAATACACCATTTGCCCTATAATACAAATAAAAGTTTCCCCGGGCTTTGCATGGGATGTTTTTGCTCTTGTTGAATAATTATTTGGAATTGCAATGTGCTTTGGCTTGTGGCAGAACTTGATTTCATTTTCTTTCACTACCCGGTACCGAAATAATAGGATGGGAAAATGAAATAATAAACTTTGTAAAAAAATTATAAATACTCTACATTCCTATGCACCTTGAGTCTCGTCGTGATCTTGTCGTAGGGGGTCACTTTCCTTCTGCAAAGATGTAAGAAAAATGTAGTCTTAATATAACGCGGAATGAAATGTGAGCAGCGCTTAACAACCAAACAAGTAGATAAGAAGCAATAAGATAAAAGAGCGAAAATACTGATAGAAAACCGAGAAAGGAGGGAAGATCTGGAGAAAAAAGCAAAGGAGCGAATAGTAAGGAAAAAGAATTGAGGGGAAGGTACCAAGGAAGAAAGGAAGGAAAGAAGACAGGGAGGGAGACAAGGAGTGAGCAAACAAGCGGGGAAGATCTCAAGGAAGGAAGCAAAGGGGTAGTAAGGACAAAAAGAAGTGAGAAGGATGTTACCAAGAATAGGAGGAATGGAGAGAGGGAGGCAAAGAGTGAGCAATCAAGGAAGATCTCAAGGAATAAAGCGAAGGTCAATAAGGGAAAAGGAGGGAGGGAAGTAGATATCAAGTAAGAAAGCAAAGGAAGGAGCAGTAGTGTAAAAATACGAAAGAAAGAAATCTAAAGGAAGGAAGGAAGGAAGGAAGGAAGGAAGGAAGGAAGGAAGAACGAAATTTTCATTTCACCTGCAGCGATTTCCTTGACACACGGCTTATCGTAGGATTTCTTCACGTATTCCTTCTTAGCATACTTACGATGAGGTCTGCAAAGAACACGAAAAAAACAACAAGAAACAAATAACTACGAGTTCTTCAACGTCATGCTATACTTAACGCATCACTGGTTATACTTACAGAACTGGTTTACGGGGCTCAATCAAATTTCTTTTCTGTAGGCTTTTGAATCTGTCTGCAAATAGATTTCCCTCTGGCTGCCATTATAAAATAAACAAATAAATATTGAATAATATATTGCTGTAGTTACCAACTATATTATTGATGACTTGGTGATAAGGTGGCCATGTTGAAGGCAGGTCCAAGATACTTCATCGATGGTTCCAGGGTTCTTTAAGGGTTTTAAGGGTTTTTAGGGATTTTTAAGTGTAAAATCAAAGTTTTCAAGAAGAATTACGAACGTTGCAATTATTGATATTTCGCAGTTAGTAATATTTTTAATATTATGATGATTTGTTTTATTTTATTTTATTTTTTTCTCATTTCAGACCACGGGTTATTCTCTCAAGAATAAGATTCTTTGTTTTAGTTGTATCCATATTCATGTGTCTTCTCATGTGCCCACCGTTAAACAAAGAAATGATACTCTAGGGAATGACACGTGGTCTGTAATGGGAATTCAATTATTTATGCCCAAGGAAAAGAGCAGGTTCTATTGAGGGAATGAATGAATGAAAACCTTTGTTTAAGCAGCGTATTCCCTTCAGTAACAAAAGTACTGCTATCAATGGGAGCTCTATATTGTGATGTGATGATCAAGTATTGATGGGATACCCATCACAGAAATACTGTACCTGTGTTACAAACACATCTAAACACTACTTACTTACTTTTATGGACCGCAGGTTGCCTGTGATTTCGTCACTTAGCTGGATTTCTACGGCTGCTTCTTCGAATCTTTTTGAAGTCAAGGCAAATGACATTTAAGGTTTATGAATAATGGATAGATGGATGGATGGATGGATGGATGGATGGACGGAAGGATGGACAGATGGACGGACGGACGGGTGGATGCATGGATGAATGGGTGGATGGATGGATGGATGGATGGATGGATGGATGGATGGATGGATGGAAAACAGAAAAATATGAACACCTCCATTCCTGTGGGAATACAAGAACTGACTATTTTAAATGCAGGAGAAGGACAAGAGTTGAGCAAATTCATTTTGAAAGCAAAAATAAACTGGTGGAGATGAGATATCTCAACAAAGGATACCCATGACGTCCAAGTCGTTTGGGTTTCTTTAGCTCTCCCTCCTTTAGTTCTTCTTTCTTTTGTAACTTTTGCTTGATTTCCTTTTCCTTCGCTTCAATTTCCTTTTTCAGTGATTTAATTCTGGAAATAAAGTTGAAAGCATTCAATAGTGCAACTCAAAACTAAAATGGACAAGAATCTCTTGGGCTAATCATGTGATGCTGCACTGTCCAGCTTCATTGACTATGGAGCACCCTACAAGTGACCTTGCCTCTCATTTCTTGGGTTAGATTCCTGACTCATTGCATCACATGTGAGCTGGTTAATATTGAAATTTGATCTGTGAGGTTGCTGTGCTTTGACTGATGCTCTGACTTACATAAGCTCAAAGGTTGTTTTAGGGTTAATAAAAAAAAAGTTAAAATTGTTACCTGAAAACCTCATTCTCTTTGAGTTTTAACTTCTTTTCAGCTTCTTGTTCCAATTGCTATCATATGGAAGGAAAAAAGAGAAAAAATGTTTTATTACATGTAGATTATTTTATCATAATACATGTACATGGCCAGAAAACTTTTCAAAGGTGATCGAATATCTGACTGGCTGACTGACTGACTGACTGACTGACTGACTGACTG